GAGAGAGAGAGAGAGAGAGAGAGAGAGAGAGAGCAACCGGTCAACTCGTTTATTATTGCAGCGACAGCATGACCTATTTAGTGACGACTGGAGACTTCAGAGCTTATTGATATTTACATTTGTATATCGGTGTATGTGGTGTAGCGTTTGTGCACTTTGCGTCGCATGCTGGAGACCAGAGTTCAATTTCCGGGTGGGGAGGAAATTTTTATCGAGTATTTGGGTCCTTCCGCTGGGAAATGTTCCCCTCACTCTCATCCGGGTTGACTCTGACAGGCTGGGTCAGAAACCCGCCACCTAATTGATCTTCTAAAGTGCGTCGATGGGGGCGTAAAAACAACTAGTTTGAAAATATTTATACAATTAGAAATAATTTACGACCACGAGTCTAGAGTGTGTGTGTGTGTGTAACATTATACATGGACAGTCCGGTTTCGCATATCTCAGTTTAGTCACAGGTCACATTGTGCTGGCTTCGTCACATGCCCAGTTCTGAAGATCCTGCTCACCTGTCATCATTCATTCGACAGGCAGGCAGACAGACAGACATACAGACAGACAGACAGACAGACAGCACGATTTTTTTCTTCAGAACTTGTCATGAAAGTCCCCACTGTTCATCAGTCATGGATTGTGTGCGATATCATATGTGTGTGTGTGTGTGTGTGTGTGTGTGTGTGTGTGTGTGTATGTGCGCGCGCGCACGTGTGTTTGTGCGTGTGCGTACGTGCGTGGGTGCGTGTCATGAACATGTAATGTGTTATGTGTGAGCACGCTGTACACTAAACGTTGTAACCGGTATGTTGATGTTCTGTTTTGTTTCCCCACAGACCGCCGGTGTATGATTCCTACGTTTGTCGAGCTCAATACCACCAACATTGACGAGAACAAAGAAAAACTGGCAAAAGCCGGAGTTACATTCCCACTGGGTACGTACTTACTTGCTGCCCCGCGGAACGTGCTGGTACTTCTGGTTGCTCACGCACAAACATACTCATGCACAAACTCTCTGACGAACAAACTCACTCACGCGCAAACACTCACGCACAAGCAAACGTTCGAACACTTACGTTCACTCACAAGCACACTCTCACACAAACACACTCACGCAGAAACACACTCACGAAGATGCTAAGACACGCTGGCGTGCTCGGACGCACACGCGTTTACTCAGGGACAATTCCTGCTGTCACACACACACACACACACACACACACACACACACACACACACACACACACACACACACAA